GACTTTTATTTAATGCCCACTGGTAGCTCTGTTGACCTTGAAGAACTTGTCACATGCCTTTGATTTTCATCTTGAATTTTAAATTACCCTGTTCTTTAATTCTCTCTCCCAAATGAAGTGATAGGCAATGTTGAAAATCAGATTTTAAATGTTAACCACACATACACTTTCATAGAAATCCCCAAAGACTTCCCGGATCACCTCTACCACTGGAGAAAAATAAAACTGATTTTAGAAGCTTCCATCCCTGCAGTGTTTGGGGTTTCAGATGAAAAGACTCCTGGTAGAGAAGTTGCTAATTACACAGGCTTCCAACTCTTCACTGTCCCCCCATCTGTCACTGTACTTCCAGTCATTCTCCTAAAGACACATTTATGGGCTTTTTACACAAAAGATAATAATGATCATTTGATTGCAGCAGTTTCATTTTACAGATTCCCAATCAATAGAGAAAATACTTTGCTTTAATTTCTTTATCTCTAAAATGATGAAAATGACCTAAATGAGGATGGTTAAAATTAATATGTGTGTGTAGAACTGTACTCCAAAGGGTTCCCAGTGGATGATTGTTGAGAAGTTCATCATCAGGTCTTTCTTGCAGAGTGCTGTGGTGGGCTTGAACTGCCAGCCTTTGACTGGCGTCTGAGCTAAGTAACCCTTTGCACCACCCATATTCTATTCTATTGGTGGATATATAGAGTAATATTCCTAATGCCCACAAGAGGGCAAGCTTTGCCTACATATCAATTTGATGCCTATTGTAGTTAATGCAGACTGTATGGTTGGTTTGAACTTGAAGGTTGGTGGTGGTTCAAGCTTACCAACTGCTCCTCGGAAACCCTATACAGGGTTGCTATGAGTCAGAACTGACTCCACAGCACTTAACAACAAAAAGTAGATGATGGGTCCTACTTGATAGAGCGGAGTCCTGGTGTGGCGCTGTAGGATAAGCACTTGACTGCAAGGTCAGTTTGAACCACAAGTTTACTGTACAAACTCATCAGCTGCTCCTTAGAAACTCTATACAATGTCATTATGAGTTATAACTGACTCTATGGCACTTAACAACTTCCTGTTTTTTTGTTGCTTGACCTCCCATGGAACCATCAGGAGCTCAGGAAATTATTAATTGAAATGAGAAAATAAAAACATTCCATTTATCAATTTAACCTTTAGTTTTTGCTCTACCTGTGACTTATGTTTGAAATAAAAATTTCTCTATTTTTATTTTAGTAAGTAAACCTTTCTGTTTGTAATTTCTATTCACTTATGCTATATTTCTTACCGATATAGCATGGAAGATTTTTGCTTTCTACATTTAATCTTTCAAATACCTAAATCCACTCATAATCTCTCTTTTTACTCGCTCCTTCTGGACTACATATCATTTGATACTCCTAACTATTCCCTTCCGTTCTGTTTTAGTGCTTAGCTGTTTTGAGACTTTATGGACAGATATGATTCTGCCCTGATCATTTGAATTGAATTGAATATTAGTTGTTTAAAAAATATCCTTAAATTTTTTTTTTTCCTTTCCCTTCCAAAATAATTTTCGCCTTGGATTACAGGATGATGTCAAGAAACACAGGGTATGTGAATGAGGTATTGGGAAAGTCACAATGAAACTAGCTGAGTTGGAATGATCAATACAAACTGAAAAGAGAAATGATACATTGACATGGTCAAACGGCACGAGTGACCATGATTTTTTTAGGTAGACATGTGGTGCTGTGGGCTAATGCGTCCGACTGCAAAGTTGTTTGAACTGTAAGGTTGGTGGTTCAAGCTCAATAGCTGCTCCTTGGAAACCCTATGTAGGGTCGCTATGGGTCAGAATCGACTTGATGGCACTTAACAACAACAACGTTTTAAAATTTTTTAAATTGTCTGCTATCTGAAAGACAGAGTCTTGTATGTATGTTGTTGTTGTTAGGTGCCATCGAGTCAGTACCGACTCGTAGTGACTGAGCACAACAGAAGGAAACACTGCCCGGTCTTGCGCCAACTTCACAGTCGTTGCTGTATTTGAGCCCAATGCTGCTCCCACTGTGCCAATCCATCTTGTTGGAGTTCTTCTTTTTCTCTGACCCTACATGAAGCATGAAGTCTTTCTCCAGGGACAAAGTCTGGTCATCCTGGCTTACAAAGAGCATTCTTCCAATACACATTTGTTTGTTCTTCTAGCAATTCATGGTACTTTTAATATTCTCCTCCAACACCATAATTCAAATGTATCAATTATCCTATGGTCTTCCTTATTCATGGTCCAACTTTCACATACATATGGTTATTGAAAATCCCATGGCTTGGGTCAGGTGCACCTTAGTCCTCAAGCTGACATCTTTGCTCTTGAACACTTTAAAAAGGTCTTGTGCAGCAGATGTGCCTAATACTTTACGTTGTTGGATTTCTTGACTGTGGCTTCCATGAACGTTGAGGGTTGATCCGAGCAAAATGAAGTCTTTCATAACTTCAATCTTTTCTTCATTTATTTTGATATTATTTACTGTTCCAGTGGTGAGGATTTTTGTCTTCTTTACATTGAGGTGCAACCCATACTGAAGGCTGTGGTCTTTGATCATCTTCAGTAAGTATTTTAAATCCTCTTTACTTTCAACAAGCTAAGTTGTATCATCTGCATATCGTAGGTTGTTAATGAGTTATTGAAAATCCCATCAATCCTGATGCCATGTTTTTCTTTATATAATCCACTTCTCTGATTATGTGCTCAGCATACAGATTGAATAAGTATGATGAAAGAATACAACCCTGGCACACACCTTTCCTAATTTTACCCATTCAGCGTTTCCTTGTTTTCTTCAAACCACGAACTGCCTGTTGATCTAGGTACAGGTTCCTCATGAGCACAATGAAGTGTTCTGGAATACTTATTCTCTGCAGTGTTGCCCACAGCTTGTCATCATACACACAGTCACAGCCTTTGCATAGACAATAAAGCACAGGGAAACATCTGTCTGGTATCCTCTGCTTTCAGCCAAGATCCATCTCATGATATTCCTCATTCCATGTCCTCTTCTGAATCTGGCTTGAACCTCTGGCAGTCCTCTACGAATGTACTGTTGCAGTTGCTTTTGAATTACCTTTAGCAAAATTTTACTTGCATGCGATATTAATGATACTGTCCGATGACAATAACTTTACTGAATGTGGTCTTCCTCATCCTCTCAGGCTGATATTCTGAGGATACAAGTATCCACAAACACAACATGACATTAGCAGTCCAGTGCTTACATTTAGAACTCACAGTTAACAATAAGAAAACATACACAGCTAAGTGAAGAAGTATGGTTACAAGAGTTTCAGTGCATACATGCTTGGGTTTATTCCAACCAAAATGTCTTTAAACACAGTGGATGGCTGCGAACGAGCTCTCTCAGCCATATACTTGTCTTAGTCTCATTAGAGTGTCTTCCAAAAAACGGTTCAAACAGTGGCTTCCAAGAGGATCTGCTTAACCAATTAAATTCATGGCAGAGAGGGCAGCTCAGAAGTGTTATGGTGACTGGTTTTAGTGATTTCAAAGTGGTAATCTTGATAGATTTTCTCCAAGGACATAGGATAATCACAGGTATTTTTTTATGAAGAAATTATAAGAAAATTGAAAATTACATTAATGAGAAAAACGCCATGCAAGTTGTGCTGAGGTGTTCCCCACACCCCCCATCCCAATGCACCTGCTCATTCTTTGGGAGTAGTGAGGGCTGTCCTATAAGAAATTTATTGTGAAACCTTATTATATCCACCATGATTGTTGTAAGTGCCATCGAGTCAGTTCTGACCCATAGTGACCCTGTATTGGGTTTCCAAGGAGCAGCTGGTGAGCTTGAACCTGTGGTTCAAACGACTTTGTAGTCCAGCGCATTAACCCACAGCACCACACCGGGCCATACAGCCCTTTTATTGCCCCTTCAGATTTCTTTTTGTTTCCTAAACTCAACTTTTAAAAGGAATGAAATGTAGATCCCTTGAGGATGTCCAAAATGCCATTTTGACATGCAAAACGAAGAGTTCCGAGTTCTTTGGTGAAAGATTAGAGATGGAAACGCTGCCTCCTGAGGAGTATAAACCTAGTGGAGGATATGTCCAGAAACAATAGCTTCACATTTTGATATTTTTGTTTAATAAAAATTTTCTATGATTTTGTAGCAATACAAAATATGATTATAAGTCATATATTAATATTTAGACCCAAGTTGGATATAGGAAGTGATAGAAGTATTTCAATTCTTTATTTAGTGATCTTGGTGGCAGCAAAGTGCAGGCACGAATTATAACACTTGATATTTATTCCTCCCCATTGCTGATCTTCTTGATACACCCCTACAGCTGCTGTTTGACATACTTTTTTTCACTTCAAATCTAAATCTCAAATAACTCTGTTTTTATTGTTGTTGAGTGCTGTTCAGTTGGTTCCCAATTCATGTGACCCCATCCTAGTGAGCCGCCAACCTTGTGGTTCAAACTGACCTTGTGGTCCAGTGCATTATCCTGCAGCGCCACTAAGTCAGGAGAGCTTTTCTGCCCTCATCCTTTGCCCCTTCTTTGTGTTTATCATGAGGACCAACATGACCACTGTGGACTTTTGTTTCTTTCAGTTTTTACTTAGATTTGTCAAAAGGAGGAAGGTCTAAAAAATTATCCCCAAAATAGTAACATTTTTTCTTTAGAAGACACAGAGAAGAAATGGATTTGAATTACCACCTGCTGATCATTTTTGCTCAGCTTCATGTACTGACACAGTAATAACTCAATTAGATAAGTATTCAGAAATATGGTGGCCAATTTAACAGTTGGAGAGTGTTTAAATAGGATATAAATTTATGCCATGAAACCAAGTAAAGTCTTTAATGTATGTTGGATTTTGAAAGAATGGGCAGATGTAGAGAGGAGAGTTCAGACGAAGGCATCCCTGGTACTTGGAAGGAGGTGAATGACCTCTCAGTGGAGGGGGTTTTCAGATGACAATGCAGAAATAATCTTCAGATAGGACTGAAGCAGAGTTGGAAATAGGGTGGCAAAGATGCAAACCCATTGGCCACTGGGGTGACATCTATATCCTTCAGGTCAATCACAGGCTTTAGGTTAAATTTCTGTAAAATGGTGGTCAGGAACAAAAACAGCTCCATGCGGGCCAGACCTTCTCCCACACAAATTCGTTTTCCTGAAAATACCACACACAGAGATTAGATACTCCTTGAACACTATATTTCTGATCTGGCACATAGAGAAAACACATTAGCTATTAGATGAATGACTGAATAGAGGATGCTGGGAAGGCAGGATGGCTGCAATTATAGTTGAATAGAAAGGTGGACGAAGAATGGACATGCTTGCTATCCACCTAATGTTTTATCGGAACAAGCACCCTTCAACAAATATTTATTGATCATCTTTAGACGGTCAGTGAAAATGAGAAGAACCCTCAATGAGATGAACTGACTCAATTTTGTCAAATTGAGCCCTTGACAAAGGGCTCAGACATTCTAAAAGCCATGGAGCTGGTAAAGGACCAGGAAAAGTTTTGTCCTTAAACCTAAGGTCAGCATTAGTTAGAGTTCACTCCATGGCAACTCACAACAGTTATCATCTTTATGCCAAGCATTTCATGAAGTCATCCCACATTAGAGCTGCTGTTTTGATATTTCAAGTTTCCATCAGTGCTTTTCTAGGAGCACACCCACATCATGAGAAGACCTGAGAGGAAGAAGCTTATATATCTGTGTTTCCCTTTCTACCTCTGGCACAAAGTTCAGCCAAAGATTTGGTCTCTTATGCACTTTGAAAAGCACAAATCTAAGTATGCCATTCCCATACTTTTAAACTTTAACTGGATCACTGTTCCTGTCCTATAGGTTAAGTCCCAAAGTATTTGACAAAGACCTTCACATTTTGTTCCTAATCTGACATTTTGTATCTTTCTTCCACTATTCATATTCTTTCATCTCAGCTCTCTATATTCTCATTTTCATCATTCTTAATTACAACATATAATTTCAAGCTGTATCTCATGCTTTTCCTTTTGACTAGGATGCTTCCTTCAGTATTTAATTCAAATGGCATTTCCTCTTTACAATCTTTGTGATTCCCCTAGGCAATAGAGTCTCTGGATAGAATGCTCAGCATTATATCCCTACTTCCATTGAGGCATGATCACTTTGAATCATAATTCTCTATTTACTTTCTATCCTAATGAAATGTGAGATCCTAGAAGGGAGAACCCAGTCCTTGTCACCTTGGTATTTACAATGCCAGACCCAAGTAAGCATCAAAGGTCATAAAATAAATGAAAGGGGCACCTTAAACTGAAGCCCAGCACACGCACAACAGGTGAGAATTAATCTCCAGGAAGGAGGATAATGATTAGGGGATGGACAGGGTATTCTGCAATCACTGCAATGTAGGTTGCCTCAATTCCATGGTTTTCCAGACCCCACAGTTACTTGGCAAGTGGTTCTGATATCCCCAGTATATGGCAAATGTCTTACTTTTATCCCTGTAATCCATTATCTCAGTACAAATGCTCTTTCCTTGTTCCCTGTGCCTTGTTAGGAAACTTGTATTAAAATATTGCTTATAGCATTGTATTGTTCCTAGAGCAGCTTGTTCTCTGTTTTATAGCTGGATTATAATGATTTGTTCCCCTGACACTGGAGTGTCAACACCAGATTGCTCAGTCTCTGTACATTTTATCCCCAGAGTTCAGCCTGGGGGTGGGCAAAGAGCACAACATGGAAGGTACTCAGTAAAGCGGTTGCTTAAATATTGTTTACCTAGAGCTTTAGAAAGTGTCAATGAGTTTCACTTTCTAGAAGACACTATATCATTGAGACAAAATTTAATCAACTCATTCTCTACCTTTCTCACTTTGGAGGAATTGGGGTATAGACCAAAGGACCTGCTGCTCTAATCCAATAATGAGGATGTATTATGGGCGGGAAACCTCCTGGGCATTGGGAGTGGTGCTCATGATCATGCCCAAGCAGCAATGCTACCAGCCCCAGAGTCAACACTATGCAAGTCCCAATTGATCTCACACAGGTATCCTGTTCTCTGAAGTACAGATAGCTATTTACGTTTATTACCTGCTGAGAAAGGCATGAAGTAATCACTCTTCTTAAAGTTGCCCTTCTCATCCAGAAAATGGCTGGGATCAAATTTCTCTGGGTTGTGAAATTCTTTGCCATTGTGAAGCACTGAAGTCAGTGACGGTAATACTGTAGTGCCCTGGAATAAACAGAGAAACGGAATAATCCCAGGGTTTGTGCTTTTTAAAAAAAAAAAGTTGTGTTGTAACAACCTGTGTTAGGTGCCATCAAGTTGGTTCTGACTCACAGTGATCCTATGTACAGCGGAACAAAAACACCTCTTAGTCTTGTGACATCCTCACAATTATTGCTGTATTTGAACCCATCATTGTCACCACTGTCAGCCCATCATGTTGATGGTCTTCTTTTTGGCTGATGCTTTACTTTACCAAGCATGATGTCCTTTTCCAGGGACTGATCCTTCCTGATAACACATCCAAACCATGTGAGGTGAAGTCTAAGGTGTATTCTGGTTGTTCTTCTTCTAAGACAGATTTGTTTGTTCTTCTGGTAGTCTATGGTACTTTCAATATATTCCACCAATGCCACAATTCAAACACATCAATTCTTCTTTGGTCTTCCTTATTCATTTCCCAGATTTTACATACATATGAGGTGATTGAAAATACCATAACTTGGCTTAGGCACACCTTAGTCCGCAAGGTGACATCTTTACTCTTTAACACTCAAAGAGGTCTTTTGCAGCAGGTTTGCCCAATGCAATACATTGTTTGAATTCTTGACTGCTGGCTTTCAAGGGCACTGATTGTGAATCCAAGTAAAATAAAATCCTTGACAAATTCAGTCTTTCTCCATTTATCATAATGTTGGCTATTGATTTAGTTGTGAGGATTTTTTTTGTTGTTTTCTTTACATTGAGTTGTAATCCATATTGAAAGTTTTAGTCTTTGATCTTTATCAGTAACTGCTACTGAAAGCTGTTGTTGTTGTTAAGTGCTGCTGAACTGGTTCCAACTCATAGCAACCCTGGAGAGGGTTTCCAAGGAGTAGCGGGTGGGTCGGAACCACCGACTTTGCAGTTAGCAGTTCAATGCTTGTCTGACAGCACCACACTAGGACTCCTGTTGAAGGCTGCTTATTTAGTGAATTCTCTGAAACGGGTTTTGCTATAATTGCCTTCCTAGATGTGTGTGCATATTTCTGTTTCTTAGCTAGTGTTTTGACAGATTTCCTTGATGCAAGTGGAAAAAAGAACAAAAAACAAAAATAACCCAACCTTCTTGTTGTTGTTGTAGCTAAGTGCCATCAAGTCAGTTCTGACACATAGCAACCCTGAATAGGGTTTCCAAGGAGTGTGGTGGGTTTGAACCACTGACATTGTGGTTAGTAGTCTAATGCTTATCCTCTGGTGCCACCCAAGGGCTCTAACCTATCCTAGTTGTTGTAAAATGACTTTGTGCTGGTATCCTCCTTCAGCTCTTAGCCAGACTTGCACTGAACCTAGAGATGAGCCAGAGGTGAAAGCACAGGGCCTTCTCAGGTATCTCTTGCATGTGCATCTTGCTCCAAGCATACATGTGTTTTCTCAGATTCCCCATATACATGGTACTCTTGGCATTCTTAACTTCTGCTGCCACTTCTTTATTGTGATACTAGAATTTCTTGGAAATGTAAACATTATCAAAATAGCTGAGAGGAACATAAAGAAGCATAATAAATTTGAAAGACTTATACTGCCAGATATTAAGAACTCCAAATTGGAAATCCATTAAGCTGTACACTTAGGCCTTTTTTATTCTTTCATCCTGTGTTGGCAGAGAACTGGAATTATACTGTGGAACTTCAAGAGCACTGAGGTTCAGTGTAGAAGGTACAAATCTTACCTTGGGGATGAGGTAATTTCTGAATTTAATGTGACGGGTCACTGCGTGGGGCAGGCTCAAGGGGATGAGGTCAATGAATCTCTGGATCTCGTGCACCACAGCATCCATGTAGGGCATGTTACTCCTGTCCTTCATGCAGGGGCTCCGGTGTCTGCCAATGACATTGTTGATCTCTTCCTGGACTTTAGCTGATACGACATAAGAAAGAACTGATGAGAAACAAAACACTGGCACAGCTGCCACTGCAATTCAGGGTTGTATGAAAGATCCAGAAAGTATCCCCATGTTGTTAGAACCATAATTTCAATGACCTGAAGGGCACTTAGACAGGGTTGTATGAAAGATCCAGAAAGTATCCCCATGTTGTTAGAACCATAATTTCAATAACCTGAAGGGCACTTAGACAGGGTTGTATGAAAGATCCAGAAAGTATCCCAGTGTTGGTAGAACCATGATTTCAATGACCTGAAGGGCACTTAGAGTGAAAAAATTGCTATAATACAGGTATATTAACTCTCCAACAAGGTAGGCAGTAGTAAAATCTGTACATACCTATATGTACATAGCCTACATATTAACCTACAGGATAATTAATACAAAGAGACATGAATAACTGGTTTAAAATATAGACAGCATGTAATTGGCTCAATATATTACTATTCTTGCAGAAAGAAAAACAAACATCAAATATTAGTTTTTAATCAAAATATATGATGTTTGAAAATGTCTATCCCATCATATGAGTCAGAGCCAACTCGATGGCATTACTGACAGCATACATATATGTAGGTTTGTGTTTGTATGTGCATGCAACTTCCTTCACCTCCCAAAGGTGGGCACTTGAAATCATTCTAGTATGTTCTTCTGAATTTTTTTTCATATTTCTAAATAATGTCTTTATTTCTAGATTTATCTCTCTTCAGAGATAACTTAATGACATCGTTGTAAGGATGATGACCAGTGACGTCTGCATTATCAATCTTTTACAAACAAATGTCCAAACACAAATATAAAAACACACACACTTACCAGCACTCTGTTTTCCCCACTCTATTTAATCACAAAGTTTGGTTATATCAATTTATTATTTCTACCATATGACTACATAAATATTTTTCAATGATAAGATTATTTCAATTTCTTTGTACATTTTTGGACTTAAAAGCTTCTATTTCAATTCTAAAACTTATAGATGATTTCCAAGTGTTCAGGTAAATATTTCAAACTCCTGGTAGTCATTTACTGATTATTAGGAAACCTTAGATAATCAGTCATTTCCCTTTTGTTCCTTATGTCTTCCCTTACACGTGCTGTATCCATCTTGTGCGTCTGAACTGGTTGTTCCTGGCTTGGTGCCTTCCTGAAATTTTCCTGCTATAAATTCCTTCCCCTGAAATCCAACACCATACAGAGCTTTACCCTCCTGCCTACTGCCCACAGCACCATTAGTCTGTCAGTTTGTCGTGCTTTGGTAGCTTGTGTGTTGCTGTAATGGTGGAAGCTATTACACTGGTATTTTAAATACCAGAAGGGTCAACCATGGTAAACAGGTATCAGTAGAGCTTCCAGACTAGGAATAAGGAGAGGCAGACTACTTCTGAACGGTTAGCCACGGAAAGCCTTATGAATAGCAGTAGAACGTTGATATAGAGCTGGAAGATAAATCCTTGAAGTTGGAAGGTAATCAAAATATGACTGGGAAGAGTTGCCTTCTCAAAGTACAGCTGACTTAATGATGTGGATTAAACAAAATTTGCTGCGGGGCGCAACAGCTGCAAATATTCATTAATAATTGGAATGCAGAAGGTATAAACTATGAATCTAAGAAAATTGGAAGTAATGAAAAATGAAATGGAACGCATATAGATCAATATCCCAGGCATTAGTGAGCTGAAATGAACTGGTGTTGGCCATTTTGAATCCAACAATCATATGGTTTACTATGCTTGGAATGATGAATTTAAAAGGATTGACTTTGTATTCATCATCCAGAAGAGCATTTCAAGATTAATTTTGAAGTACAATGCTGTCTCAGATAGGATAATAGCCATATACCTACAAGGAAAACAAGTTAATGTGACTATTATTCAAACTTACCCACCAACCACTAAAGCCAATGATGAATTAATTGAAGAATCCTACCAAATTCTTTCATCTGAAATTGATCAAACATGCAATCAAGATGCCTTGATAATTACTGGTGATTGGAATGTGAAAGTTGGAAACAAAGAGGAAGGACCAGTAGTTGGAAAATATGGCCTTGGTAATAGAAGTGATGCTGGAGATCACATGATAAAAATTTGCAAGACCAACAACTTATTCATGGCAAATATTTTTTTTCCAATAACAAACAGTGACTATGCACATGGATCTCACCAGATGAAATACACAGTAATCAAATTGACTACATCTGTGGAAGAGACAATGTAGGAGCTCAGTATGGGCCAAAACAAGGCCAGGGGCTGACTGTTAAACAGATCATCAGTTACAGGCTGAAGCTGAAGCAAATTAGAACAAGTCCAGGAGAACCAAAATATAACCTGGAGCATAGCCCACCAGAATTTAGAGACCAGTGCAAGAACAAATGTGGTGCCTTAGACACTAATGACTGAAGGCCAGAGGAGTGTGGGATGACATCAAGAACATCAGACAGGAAAAGACCAAAATGAATGTTAGAGGAAACTTTGAAATTTGCACTTGAACACAGAGAAGCTAAGTTATTGTTGATAAATTCTGTCGCGTTGTGGTGACTCTTGTATAGAGTTTCTGAAGAGAAGCTGAAGCTAAGGTGACTGAAAAAAAAATGGTGACGTAAAAAAGCTGAACATAAAATTTCAAAGGGTAGCTTGAGAAGTCAAAGTAAAATATTATAGTGAAATGTGTAAAGACATGGAGTCAGAAAATTAAAAGGGAAGTGAAGGACATGCTCAGCACTTTTCAAACTGAAAGAAATGAAGACAAAAAATCAAGTCTTGACTTGCTGTACTGAAGGATTCTGTGGGCAAAATATTGAAAGATGCAGAAAGCATCAAAATAAGTGGAAGGGGCACAGAGGCACCGTACCAAAAAGAATTGGTTGATGTTCAACCATTTCAAGTGGTAATATATGATCAAGAACTGATGGTATTGAAGGAAGAAGTCCTCCAACTTTCACTGAAGGCTTTGGTGAGAAATAATACTCCAGGAATTGATGGAATACAAATTAAAATATTTCCAAAAACTAATGAAGCACTGGAGGCACGCATTTGCTTATGTCAAGAAATATGGAAGACGGCTACCTAGCTAACATTGGAAGAGATCCATATTTGTGCCCATTCCAAAGAAAGGTTACCAAGTGATGTGTAGAAATCATAGAACAGTATCATTAATCTCATATGCAAGTAAAATTTAGTTGAAGATAATTTAAAAATAGTTGCAGTAGTACATTGACAAGGAACTGTCAGAAATTCAAAGCAGATTCATAAGAGGATGTCAGATGGACCTTGGTTGAAAAAGCAGAGTACCAGAAAAATATTTACTTGTGTTTTATTGACTATGCAAAGAAATTCAATCATGTGGATCATAACAAACCGAGGATAACATTGCGAAGAATGGAAATTTAAGAACACTTCATTGTGTTCATGTGGAACCTGTACATACAAGAAGCAGTTGTTCAAACAGAACAAGGGGATCTTAAGTGGTTCAAAGTAAGGAAAGGTGTGCGTAAGGGTTGTAGGTTACATCCTTTCACTACACTTATTCAATCTGTATACTGAGCAAATAATCCGAGAACCTGCATTATATGAAAATAGAATGGGGCATCAGAATCGAAGGAAGACTCATTAAGAACCTGCAATATGCAGACAACAATCTTACTTGCTGGAAATATAAAAGACTTGAAATACTTACTGATGAAGATCAAAGAGTACAGCTTTCAGTATGGATTTACCTCAATGTAAAGAAAACAAGAATCCTCACAGCTGGATCAATTAGTAACATCCTGATAAATGGAGAAAAGACTGAATTGTCAAAGATTCCATTTTACTTGGATCCATAATCAATGTTCATGGAAGCAACTGCCTGGAAATCAAACATGTATTGCACTCAGCAAATCTACTATAAAAGATTTCTTTAAAGTGTTAAAGAACAAAGGTTCCACTTTCAGTATCATAGTACCTGCCTCAAATTAATACATTTGAGTTATGGTATTGGCGAAGAATATTGAAAGCACCATGGACTTCTAGAAGAACAAATAAGTCTGTTTTGGAAAAAATCCAGTAGGATTGCTCCATAGAACCTTAAAAGCGATGATGGTGAGATTTAATTTTTTGTACTTTGGACATGTTATAAGGAAGGACCAGTCCCTGGAGAAGGACATCATACTTGGGAAAGTAAAGGGTCAATGAAAAAAAGGAAGACCTCCAACAAGATAGGTTGACACAGTGGTAGCAACAATGAGTTCAAACAAAAGAGCTGTGAGGACGGTGCAAGATTTGGGCAGTGTTTCATTCTGTTGTACAGTAGGGTCACTATGAGTTGGAATCAACGTGATGACATCTAACAACAACTGCCCACACTGTCAGTCTTCTCTCTACTTGGTGCAAATGATCACTTTCTACTGTGGAGCAATTGGATTCCTGGTGTGGTGCTATAGCATCAGCACTGGAATGTGAACCACAGGGTCGGTGGTTCAAACCCATCAGCTGCTCCTCAGAAACTTTATATAGGATTGCTATGAGTTAGAATCAACTGAACAGCACTTAACAACAACAACTCTGATGCAATTTGTCTCCTTTTTATCTCTTAGACAAATTATACCTGGTGCCATAGAAATTTAAATAAGGAGGTGTCTGTAATTGAAACCAGATTGAAAACTTTAGCAACATCTTGTCAACTTTCTTTCCCAGTTTCACCCTGCCGCCATCTGTGGTCATACCTGTGACCTCGGGGTGCTTCATCAGAAGTAGGAGGCCGTATCTCAGGGTGGTACTGGTGGTCTCTGTCCCAGCTCCAAACAGGTCATGCACTGTGGTTATCAAACTGCTAATAGTAAACTCACACTCCTTGTTGTGTTTTTCCTGGGAATAGATTATGCAATAGGTTGACAAATTAGCTTGTCAGCACACTTAATTACAATGAATTCAAAATAATCCAGAGTAAACTTGGAAAATAAAAGTTTCTTTTTTAGGAAATACTTCTGTATGGTATGGCAGACATTGGAGACTAGATGACATAATCTTCATTTCCTACCTGTTTTTTTCTTTCAAATTTCTAAGTGATGGCCTTTTGCAGCGAGGTGGCTCATGAAAAATAATTCTTGTCACTGAGATACCAGCAGAAAGAAGCCTGTTGGTGCCACTTCTTTTATTTCTTACTCAAAACACAAATCCAAAGGTGCAGATGGGGCAGACATTGTCTTGGGACATGAGGATTTAAGCTTGAAGATGAAGACCTTCACTGAGGTATGTTCTGTTTCTTATTGTTAAGTGCGTTAAGTCAGTTCTGACTGTGTATAGGGTTTCCAATGAGTGGCTGGTGGGTTTGAACCAGCAACCTTGTGGTTAACAGTAATGTGTTTATCCTACAGCACCACACCAGGACTCCACTTAAGTATGGAGAAGAACAATGGAAGGCACGTGATGCCATGAAGCTTCAATGTTGCTGGACTAGTCCTTGCCTGGCTCAGCATGAGACGCAATGTATGTGAAACAAATAAACCTACTAATTGGGTTTTCTCTTATTTGTAAAGAAACACAATCTATTATTAAAAATAATACTGTGCAAACAGCCAGTTGAAATACCAGAGAGACCTTAGGGCCCTCCTTAACCTAGGATAGTTGGAAAGATTTCAAAGCATTAGGAATTCCTTCTAAGTATGAGCAACATACGGAGAACTAAGGTAAATGCAGTCTTCTGGAAAGGTGTTCACACCTGTAGTCGGATTCTCATAACGACTAAACCTCCCACAGGAGAAGCAGCATTTGTTGCCCTAGTGGCAGAGGACGCAGGCAGTGGAAGTAATGTGCTTCTTTCTCCAATTTCTTCAAACCATTCCGTATCTTTTGTCACATTCTCTCTGGAACATGTGATTTGAGCAGTCCACCTCAAATGTCATGGCAAGTCTCTGAATGCCCCCTCTCTCAGGATCTTTGGTGCCTTTCCAGTTTGACCTACTGACTGATTTCTCATTTCTGCCCAGTGCTGCTAGTGCTCACCACCTGAATCTTTGCCTTGTTGGTTGAACATCTGCTTTCATCCTGAAATTGACACATAACCCTTTATACTTTGACACTGTAGCATAAGCACTGGACTGCTAACTGCAAGTGGATCACCAGATTTTTCTACCATGGAGTGGCTGGTGGGTTCAAACCACTGACCTTTCAGTCAGTAGCCAAGAGCTTACCCACTGCACCACCAGCGTTTTGTCATAGGCCCATGTTGTTGTTGTTAAATGTCATTAAGTGGGTTCCTACTCACAGCGACCCTGTACAGGGTTTGTGAGGAGCAGCTGGTGGGATCAAACCACCCAACTTGTGGCTCTCAATTCAGTGCTTATCACACCAGATAAATGAACAATGTCCCAGCTGCTCTTCTTCTCCATTCTCACTACATAGATCATTCTACACAACTCCTGGGACAATGTACCTAATGATTATTGGTATGTATTCCTGTGCTAATCAAAATGGCAGCATCGATGGAGTCAAGCGTGGCAACAGTAGTGAGGTTGGCCCAGGATTGGGCAGTGTTTCGTTCTGCTGTGCATAAGGTCATTATGAGTCGGTGCTGACTCGATGGCACCTAACAACACCAATCCAAAAAAAAAAACAACTCTCCATGCCAACATTTGGACCCAACAGACACCAAAAGCCAACTCCATTTCTGTACAAATTCATTTTTGGTTGTACTCAATTAAAGCTTTTCCCTTCCATCCACCTAATCTTTTTGCCACTACACACCTCTGAACCTCTGCATATACCATTCATTCAACCCATGTGAAATTCCCTCTCCTGATCCTCACTGCAAATAGTCCTTCTCCCTCTCCCAAGCTCTTTGAGCAATCTTCACGTCCATCTTCATTTGTTGACAAGACGTTGTATATTTTCTACCTTTCCGGTAATCGTTGCACTTCAACTCTAGTGTGCTTCCTCTATCTCTTTAGGCTGGTTATTAGTACCTAAAGAACAGGATCCCTGGACTCTAATTATTTATCCATTCCATTTAAAATAGACCTGTGATGGTCAGTGCAGATCCATGCACATAATAGGTGCCTAAAAGGCTTGTCAAACATTACTTATGTGATTATTTTAACATCTCTATCAAGTATTGAATTATTCAATGAACTACAAAATGCACAAGCTAATAACTGATTTGTCTTGGACATTTTACCTCTTCCATTTTGGTCAAGAAGCAATCAATGAAGTCCCGAGGATTATTAATGTCCAGGGATTCTTGGTGTTCCTTTATTTTCTCCAAAACATAATTTTCTAAAGCAGCAACATTACTAAGTAGTTTGTTATGACTTCCTGGGAAATAATCAAGAAGCACAGGAAAAGAATTGCAAATCTAGAAGAAAGGAAAAATATTTATTAAATAATATCTCATGAAGATATATAGGCCATATGCCAAGCCCCAGTTAGAAACTGGGTCTGTAAAGATGAATTCAATATGTTCTCCAAGTTGAAGGGATGTTCTTTACTGTACATATAAATTAATTCTTGAAGCTTATAGGAAGATTCAAGGCAAAAAATTCTGACCAGAGAATCAATAACAATTTCCTATGATATTATTAATAACTTAATAATAATTTCCTATAATCATACATCATTTGTACAAAATATCTTTAAAAGTATCTGTATATCAATTCTCTAATTTTTTTTACATCAATACTTCCCTACATCCATGAAATAGAGAATGCCATAATTTAGGAGCATTGACGTTTTGTTTCCATAGATTAAGGTGGAACACCAAGCCTCAGAAATAGAATCAGTATTTTATAATTGGGAGGGGCTTGAAATTACCATTGGCATCTGACTGAGCATTTCATGGATAAAATAACTACGCAAAAGAACAATGATGTTTCTTTTCTAAGATCATGCAACTATCAGGATGTACCAACTGAACCCTAGGCAAAATTGTGATGTTTGCTTATGAGCCACACAGCATAAAACCCAGTAATTTTCTTCCCCTTAACTGAGTTATCTGTCAGTTGGAATCACAACTGAAACATCAAACAGCCCTATGCTAGTCAGTGCTTCCATGGTCCTGATCATTCTTCTTCCTTCATATACTAAATCAGAATATTTCTGCCAAGTAGTTTGATGAAGAGATCAGTAGGTATTACATGGAGGATGACCTTGTGGGTAATAGAAGCCTTTGAATTTGGGCTGTGGATCTCTAAGAAGTGCCATGTGCATGCTTTTGGGAAGTCACCAGAGTACTTTATGGAAACTAGGTTTGTGGTTTAGTGGAAGTATTACTGAGTAGAAAGTCGTATTGTGTACTAACCTGTAAAATAAAGGATAGGGTTATCTTTTGCTGAAGTTCACTCTATAACCCTGTATGAATTATCTTTGTTGTTGTTGTTAAGTATTGTACAGTCAGTTCTGACTCATAGTGACTCTCTATTGGGTTTTCAAGGAGCAGCTGGTGGGCTTGAACTGCTGACCTTGTGGTTAGCAGTCCAGTGCTTATCCTACAGTGCCACACCAGGACTCTGACCACAGGAATAGAGGTTAAAATTTGTAACACATACTTTTGTTGGGGCACAATTCAATTCACAATATACCCTAAGCAGGACTTTTGTATTCAGACTTTACAGCTTGGTCCACATAGAATTTTGCCCTTGTCTGAGAAAGAAAGAAACAGTTTCTCAGGAAGACAGGATCTTGACCTCACCCGAATCCATGGGGAACTCAGAATCTTCATATTTTCATTGAATCTATCCATCAAGTTAAGAAATTCCTTGTCTGTATAATCAAAACGATTCTGGAAAACAATGGAGCAGATTACATTGCAGGGGGCACAGGCCAGGATGAAAGTAGGATCACAAGGTGCACCTAAAGAATTAGAAGCATTAAAAAATGCAGTTAAAATCCGCATATAAAACCCACTGTCTTTTAGATAAAGGTGTATTAGTTATCTAGTGCTGCTATCACAGAAATATCACAAGCAGATGGAGTCACCTAACAGAAGTAAGTTCTAGGGGAAGGCTTCCTCTCCCTGTCGGCTCTTAGGGAAGGTCCTGGTGTCCTGTCAACATCTGTGGGCCTGGCATCCCTTGGAGATCTCCAGGTGTCTTGGCATCAATCTTCCCCTAGGTCTAACAGTTTGTTAACACGGCCCCTGTTGTTGTTAGGTGCCACTGAATTAACACTGACTCATAGCGACCCTATGTACAACAGAACAAAACACTGTGTGGTCCTGCGCCTATCTCACAATGATTGCTAAACCCAAGCTCATTGCTGCCAGCACTGGGCTAATCCATCTCGTTGGAGGTCTTCCTCTTTTTTTTTTCTGACTTTCCACTTTACCAAACATGATAATCCTTCTCCAGGGAATGGTCCCTCCTAACAATACGTCCCAAGTATGAGAGACAAAGTCTGGCCATCCTGGCTTCTAGGGAGCACTCTGGCTGTACTTCTTTCAACATGGAGTGCTTTGTTCTTTTGGCAGTCCATGGTACTTTTAATATTCTCCTTCAACACCATAACTCAAATACATCAGTTCTTCTATGGTCTTCTCTATTCACTATCCATGTTTCACATGCATATGAGGCTTTTAAAAATGCCATGGGTTGGGTCAGGTGCACCTTAGTCCTCAAACTGACATCTTTGTTCTTGAACACTTTAAAGAGGTCTTTGCAGCAGATTTGCCTAACACAATATGTCATCTGATTTCTTGACTGCTGCTTCCATGAGTGTTGGTAGTTGATCCAAGCAAAATGAAGTCTTAGACAACTTCAATCTTTTCTCCATTTATATGGATGCTGTTTATTGGCCCAGTGGCGAGTATTTTTGTTTTCTTTACATTGAGATGCAACTCATACTGAAGGCTGTGGTTTTTGATCTTCATCAGTAAGTATTCAAAGTCCTCTTTGCTTTCAGCAAACAAGGTTGTATTATCTGCATATTGCATGTTGTTAATCAATCTTCCTCTAATTATTATGCCATCTTTTTCTTCATATAATCTCACTTCTCAAATTATTTATTCCTCTTACTGATTGAATAAGTATGGTGAAAGAACACAACCCTGGCACACATCTTTCTTAATTTTAAACCATTCAGTGTTCCCTTGCTCTAGTCAAACAACTGCCTTGTGGTCTATGTCTAGGTTCCTCATGAGCACGATTAAGTGTTCCTGAACACTCATTCTCTGAAATGTTGTCCATAGCTTGTCAGATCCACACAATCAAAAGCCTTTGGGTAGTCAATAAAGCACAGGCAAACATCTTTCTGGTATTCTCTGCTTTCAGCCAAGATCCATCTGACATCAGCAATGACATCCCTTGTTCCACATTCCCTTCTGAATCCAGCTTGAACCTCTGAAAGACCGTAAGTTCAAAGAATGTGTTCTGCTCCTGACTTTTCTTTCTTGGTGGTAGTCAGTTCCTTGCTGGTCTGGTGGCTTCTCTCTCCTTTTGTCTCTTTAAGATAAAAGATGATGCCTGTCACACCCCAGGGGCATTTCCCTTACATGAGATTAGGGCTGGGACTTGAGTAAGGTGTTACACCTCACCCTAGTTCCCTTGCCACGGATTGTCTTATTGGATCACATTATGGGGGATGACCACATCATACAGAACTGCCAAGCCACTGGGAATCACAGCCCAGCCAAGTTGACATATATTTTGGGGGGCACAATTTAATCCATGACAACAGGTAAAGGTCATTTTAGAAACTTTAAAGCAATATCTGCCTAGAAATTTCCTTATCAACAAAAAAGTAGCACTCATAAAGAACACATTTTGTTGTTGTTGGTATGTGCTGTTGAGTTAGTGCCAACTCATAGTTACTCTGTATAGGACTTCCACGGAGTGGCTGGAGAATTTGAACTGCTGACCTTGAGGTCCAGTGCATTATCCTGTGGCACAACACCAAGACTCCAAAGAACACATTGCTTTCCCCATAAACATGAACTAAATTAACTAATTTAATAATAGTGGTTTTCCAAATATGGCATTCACTTCCATTGCTTTTATTTACATCATCATAACCCAAGTTGTCTTATTATTTTTGAGGAAAATGCAATTTAATAGGCCATTTAACATTTTTTAACCTAATATGTGTAATCTCACAGGTGTCTTGTTTTCTATCCCCACCTCCACCAGCAGCTGAGCAGACTATTTCTTAAGTACCTATTAATTTAAACTATTAGTGCAGAGTCACATCTGTCTGCAGAGCCTGCAGACAATTGTGCATTTATCTAGGAAAAAAGAGAGTAGTTAGGGACCTGAGCACTTAAGAAATAGGAAGAATAGCTGAAGGATCTGTGTGTATAACTAGCAGAGGGAAAGACAAAAAAGAGAGATTATGGGTGGATTCTGGTATTTGATGGGACATATGTACAAAAGTACATATGTATGAGTTAAAAACTACCACAAAACCAAAAAACTATCACAAATGAACAAAAAGCTTAAGAGGATAGATTGGTTTAACTAAAAGAAAACATTTTTCTACCAAACTTAAATCATAGGTAGGGGAAACAAGAAATGTTAAATTGATAAGTGGAGTTCTTTTACTTCTTCATTTAATATAAGAAAAAGAAATTTACTGTTTTAGGAAGTAGTATTTAACTATGAAATAGCCTCCAAATCTAATCCCTTTGGGCAACGGCTGCCTTTTCGTGGACTACTAGGATACTGCTATAGACAGTCATAGAATATGATGTTAGTTACCACTGAGTTGGTCCCTGACTCATACAGCACAATCTACATTTTTAAATGTGACCCTAACTTAGGTCAATTCCACAGTTTTCTAGATAAAGAGATTAAAGCAGAGCAAATGTCTTTTTTTTGTATGGGGAATCTATTAAATACTTGATAAACTTTATATATAGATGTTTTTGAGAATGACAAAACTATTGTGAAGAAATGACAGGACACTGAACAATGGGACAACTATTGAGTTAGAAGTTCCTCTGCCACTTCAGCTGAAACCGAAATACTCTAGGGCTCTCAACTTTGGGGGGGAGTGATTTTCAATCTTTCCTTTCCCTCCATCTGAAAGAAGGAATTGAAAACCACTGTCATTTGGAATTCAAGGTGAAAATCAGTCAACATTAGAAGTACTTTACAGGTCAGTAGAGCAGTGGAAAGCAAATAGTAATATAAATGTAACTCAAAAATGAGCAAATCTGACAAAAGATCCAATTTATAGTTAGGGAAGACAGGGTCAAAAATTATCAAGAAGAGTTGAAATCTAGTTAAATAATTATTTAATACACTGGGTATGCATATTTTGGAGGATTATATAAAAATATTACATCAAGAGACTTCTGGCAAGATGGGACTGGGCATACCCACTGCATGGACCCTCTACAACAAAGATGTGAGAGCCAATGTGCCAGCTGCTCCGAGAGAGAAAGATGAAGCTTTCTGCTCCTGCAAAGATGTAAAGCCGTGGTCCTGAGTAGTACTTCAGCTCTGGGTGAGCTGTGGTGCCAAGAGAGACTGTGGATTATATAAGTGTTCAAACAAGCGAAACAATCTATGACGGTTACAGGGGATGGGGACGTGGTGGGGGATTATTCATGGACTCTAGTGAAAATACATGTTGATGTAGGTGACAGGGCAGACAATATGCAACAAGAGTGAAGTTAGTAGAGGAAAGATGAAGGTAGCAGGAGACATAGGGAGGAATGTAATAGTTTAAGTTGTTGTTGTTGTTAAGAGGTAAATGTGTTAACTGTTGGTACATGGAGGGGACTGCAAATATGTAATGAAGCAAAGTATTAGATTCGTTCAATGGAAAAGTGATGAGCTGCTCTGTAAACTTTCACTCAATTCACAATAAAACATTAAAAATAATATAAATCAGTGCAGTCAGTAGTGAGTTACACTAAGTAATGCATACTGATAGTTTTAAATGGTCCTGTGTTTAAGGGACTCACACTGATGAGAGTTGCACTAAGAGATGCCTGGTTGGTGGTGGTGGTGTGCAGTGCAGTCAGTTCAGACTCATAGCAACCCTGTAGATGGTTTCTGAAGCTGTAAATCTTTATGGGAACAGAAAGTCTCATCTTTTCCTGTGGAACAGCTGGTAGTTTCAAACTGCTGACCTTGATGTTAGCGGCCTGACTCATAACTACTACACTATCCAGAGCTCCTTAAGAGATGCCTTGATAATGAAAGTCATAGCCAACCAGGCTTTCTAGTCAGAACTGCAGGTGTGGGCCTTGGACAAGTCAGAGACCCTCAGACGTGTCCATTTGACTCTATGCATACATTGTTGCTGCTAGTGCCGTCCAGTTGGTTCCGACTCACAGTGACCCTGTACAGGGTTTCCAAGGATTGGCTGGAAACCAACCTTTTGGTCCTGTGCTTATCCTACAGTGCCATACCAGGACACATCTGAGGGGGCTTCAGAATGTTCATGGAAAAATGGCAGTGAAAGATAGTGGAATTTTTCTATGAACTTTTGAAACCTCCTTGTTTAGTCCAGTGAAGTGACAGCAAAAGGCACTTCAGGCTCCATAGGGTTGTTCTCAGAGTGTTTCAGTAGGATGTTCTAGAATAGGCATCCTGTGTTCTTTAGCTCTTTAAGAAAATGAGATTTAAAATATTCTATCTTCATGATTTTCATTTGAAAACAGACAAAGCAAGTCTAGGAAGAAGATGATTTTATACTAACAGCGTGTACACAGTCATGCGCCTACACAGACTACACAGACATACCAACTTTCCCTTGTCCTATGTTTCTTATCCTCTCTCCTCCATGGGAAATCCCTATCAATAAGGAAAGACTTGGATGTTCCTGAACTATTTCTTGGGACCCCATTAGAGAAGAGAGACGTCTGTTACCGTTAGAGACACTGAGTTAAGAATCACCCACCTTTGGTTTTTCTCAGCTCCTCCACTAGGGAGCTGGCTTCCTCCTGAACGCGTTCCTCAATGCTTCTCTTTCCCATCCCGAAATTCCGCAGGGTCATGAGGGAGAAGCGCCGGATATCCTTCCAAGTCTGTCCATTGCTGAAAAGGACTCCTGCCAGGAGAAAAGTAGGGGATTCTTGGCAAGGAAGAAGACCTGACCCAGGCGCCCAGGATGCGTCCAGCTCTGCCTGAGCAGTTCTTCAGTGCTTCTTTCCACCATTGCCACTGCTCAAAGCAAGCACACAACACTCACCTTGTACTTTATTAGCTTTTTCAGCCACTGGGAAATGGCCTCTCCCAGAAAACTCTTCTCCACGATCAATCAGAGCTTCCTTCACTGCTTCATACCCATACAATATCACTGTGGGCTTCATGCCAAAATACAGAGTGAACACTGGGCCGTAGGTTTTTGAGAACTGGGGAAAGGAAAATAGATGCAAATATTAGCAAAAGAATCATGGTTCTATATACTGTACATGATTTATACTGACATAATATGGTATTGCAGATATTTTATTGTGCTACAAAAATTGTCAAAATTTCAGAATTTTAGGTATACATTTGTTGGTGATTGTTAAGGCTGTTATTGAAGTAGAGCCTCTGATGTTCCAGGCAACAGACTGAGCCCTTGGTCTTCACATTATTAAAGCTAATCATCACAGCAACACCTTAGGAATATTTATTTACCATCATTTTACAGGTAAAGAAACAGGTTCAGAGAACTTAAAATGTAGTTCTCAGTGTCCACAGCTATTAAATAGAAGATCCAAATTCCAACTGCCCCTGAGTCAGCCTCTGACACCTTAGAAATGTATTAGTCCCCAGTGTCCACCTTTGAACCAGAAGCCGACAGACTGATTTGGGGTCATCTGCAACTTCTTCTCATGGAGCTTCTACTCAGCATCGCTGTGATTGATACTAGAAATCTGTGCTTTTAAAAACCACCCCAGCTTGAGATGTGTGAGGACTGCTCACAGACAGTGAGTGGGCGCCACTGAGGCGGTATCTCTGGAGGAGCCATTTCTTCCCTCCTGCAGCATGCTCAGGCCACAGACAGCAGCTCTGTGCAGAGTCTAACAGAATGCCTTCCCCACGCGACCTCCGCGTGTCTGCTGTCTTTCATTCACTCTTGCTGTTCTCCAGCCCATCACTGTTTTCTTGGTATCAACAGGAATCTGCGTCTAAGGAGAAGTTTAGTTTTCCTGGACAATCTGAAGAAAACACATGTCTTTTAGAGTAGATGACTTCTTGTATGAAATCTCTAATCATAAAACACTTCCAATACCACTTCTCTTCAGCCCAAACAAGCTGATGACTATGAAACATTGAAGGCAGCCAGACTCCCTACTTTTGCCATGACACTGCTTTATTGTTGTTAAGTGCTGTCAAGTCAGTTCTAACCCATAGTGACCCTCTATAGGGTTTCTGAAGAATGTCTGGTGAGCTTGAACCACCACCTTGTGGTTCAAACCGACTTTGCAGTCCAAACATTAACCTACAGTGTCACACCAGGACTCCTATTACTTTATTAATTTGCTCCTAAAAGGAGCTCTGGTAGCGTAGTGGTTACAAGTTGGGCTGCTAAACTTAAGGTCAGCAGTTTGAAACTACCAGCCATTCCATGGGAGAAAAATGAGGCTTTCTGCTCCTGTAATGATTTACAGCTTCAGAAACCCTATACTGGGTTGCTAGGAGTTGGAACCAACTCCACGGCACACCACCACCACCATGATCTTACAATGGGCAGAACCGTGGTGGCATTACTGGGTTATGCATTGGGCTGTTAACCACAGAGCCAGCAGTTTGAATCCAGCTGCTCCATGGGAGAAAGATGAGGCTTTCTGTTCCTGTGTTGATTTATAGCCATGGAAACCCTATGCAGGGTCACGATGCATCAGCACACAACATCTTACAATGACCTTAGTATTTATCTTCTCCAAAATGTATTACTTTATTTCTCTATTTCAGATAATGATACATTAAAAATGCAATGGGAACAGCAAAATCCACAGGGAGTATTTTGTTCTACAATTATGTATATTAATACTTGGAGTGTGGTGCGCTGTACTGCAAACCACAAAGTCAGCAGTTCAAACCCATCAGCCACTCCTTGGAAACCCTGTACAGGGTCGCTTGATGGGATTTAATAACAACAACACATTAATACTTTAGGGAGCACATATGATAAGCCAACGATAAGCCCAGGGTTGATGGTTTGAGCCCACCAGCTACTTCGAGGGGGAAAGATGAGGCTTTCTGCTCCTGAAAAGATTTGAAGCCTCAGAAACCCTATACAGGGTCACTATGAGTCAGAACCGACTAGTTGGTATTTAAGAACAACCACAACACATTAATGCTTGACTGCAAGGCATCAATTTTATTTTAAATTACTTATCTAAAACTTAAGAAAAGGTTTTTATGCTAAAAGAAACCTTCTTTAATGGTTTCCAGGGGTGGGAGGGAAGGGAGAGTAATTCACTGGCTGGAGGAGACACATGTTAACTTGGGTGAATGTGAGGTCAGTAAACAAGAAGAGGGAGGCTGTCAGAAGAATGATGATGACAGGTGAAAATACAGGGAGGTATAAGGAGCTCTGGTAGCGTAGTGGTTACGAATCGGGCTGTGAGCCGCAAGGTCAGCAGTTTGAAACTACCAGCGGGTCCGCGGGAGAAAGATGAGGCGGTTTGCTCCCATAAAGATTTACAGCCTCGGAAACCCTGTGTAGGGTCGCTATGAGTCGGAACCGACTCCACGGCACTTAACAACAACAACAACAACAATGCAAGTGTTACAGGGCATAGAGGTAAATAGTGTCATATACACAACCTTGGAACAATAGTGTTCTGAAGGTAGATATGGACAGATACATAGGCATATGGGAGGAAGAGTGGGACTATATTCCCAAATATATAAGGGTTTGAAAGAGGATAATTGTACATGAGTATTTATCTTTGCTGCAATCACAGCTAAGAATGTGGTAGAGCATACAGGAGGCAAAATGATGAAAACTTAGATATTATCAAAAAACATAAGCTAATGAGTTTCTGGGCCTGGGGACTTAGGACCATAGTCTCAGGGGACACTGTGATCAGTTGGCATAACATAGCCCACAAAGACAAAGTTCTACATCCTACTTTGGTGACTAGGATCTTAAAAGCTCATGAGGGGACAAGGCAACAATAAAGAGATGGGCTGAGCCCGACCATGTTCCATAGACACCCATCGACTTGGAGATGAGAGAGAGAAGAGGAAGGGCTGGTTGGTCCAAAGTATGGTGAGACCTGGGGTCTCCTGAGTCCATGGACAAGGACATAGCCATGAAGAACTGGGAGTGGAGCGTCCAGCTGATGTAAAGTGAGGGGAGATGCATAAGAATACCCAAACTTGCAGATAATACCCATTTGACCTAGCTTTGATGGCTTAAAGATCACAACTCCACTAAAAGAAGATAAAAAAAAAATTGATAAAGGAAACAAGTGTAAATTGCTAGAATTTGATGAACTTGACCTACACTTATGGATGTAGTAGCTCAAAATACCAACTGAGAGGGAAGAAGTCTTCATCCTACCCCTTCTGTATGCAGGGGTGATAGGGACGGGCAACTTAGACATTGGCTACCTAAAAGGAGGGGGGCTATAAAGGCACAGAGTGACTGGCTTACAAGTTTTCAAGAGGGAGTTTAGTATCAGAGTGTGTGTGGGAAGGTAGAATCCTCAAGAATGGTGAAAGGAGATGGGGATAAGATTCTTATGATTCAATGGTGAGTAGTTGTTATCATGACTAATTGTGATTGTCACAAATGTAAAGGTAGAAGTTTTGTAACATAAAGGGGAGAGCAGTTAATCTTACATTCTAGGAACAGAGGACCCTAGGACCATCAAGGGAGAAGAGCATGAGCAGAATGTGGAACCCTATCCAGAAAAGCCACCAGAGATGGAGGCAGAGACGAGGGCATGGAGAAATACAGCAGCTGAGGACTCTGGACTCATGGAAAGAAAAAGACTGTTAGTGTTCAGGAGGCAGGCTTGCAGAATGTGCCCTTTGGTTGTTTAAATGACTGAATATTCCTGAGTGTTTTGGTATACATCCCCCCTCTGCCCCCCCCCCCCAATGCATGAGTGGCAATCTAAGGTGCAACTATTGGTCTCTCTATGTGCGGAAGAAAGGAGATTGATGAAAATTTGAATATGTTTGGAATCAACTTGTCTAGTGGACCAATGAAACATTTGAACACCAGTCACCATAATTTTGAGACCAGAAAAACTTGATGGTACCCAGATACCACTACCAATTACTCTGAAAGGAATCACATTAGAGGGTCCCAGATAGTAAAGGAGAAAATGTGGAACAAAACTAAAAATTATTTTAAAATGTTGGACTTACTGTTCAGAAAGAAATTGGAGAAACCCAAGACTGTGATCCTTGACTACCCTTCAGGTCTGGAATGGAGGTCACCCTCATGACCCAATTTTCAGGTACATAGGAAATCAATAACACAAGTAAGGTATGTTCACTGTGAAATGGTCAATCATTTGAGATGAAAAGGGCATCCTTTACTGAAGGATGAGAAAGGATGAGAAAAGATGGGGATGGGAAGGAGGGTGGAATGGAAATAGGAACCTCAGGGAAGAGGCCGCATAACTGTTTTTACATGGAGGAGATTGCAATCACTTAGATGAAACAAAGTGTAGGATTTTTTGCATACAAAAAGGATGATCTCTGTAAACCTTTGTGCAATTCACACAAAAAAAGGTTTTTTTAAATGTACTTACGTATTGCATGCAACTGGAGGAATATAAGATATACTTACATGGCGTAAAGATTGGCTGAGGTTCGTCATATCTAACTGTAGAATATTTCCAATAATTGGGAGAGGAGTGGGACCAGGTGGGAGATTTCCTTTTCCATAGCTCTGTCTCCAGAGTGAAAAGAGAAGCAAGCAGGAAGCACAGAGCACCAGGACCACGACTAGATCCATTGAAGCCTTCTTCTCTTACTCAGGCAACTATGGGGATAATCCAGGGGTTTTATAATGCTGCTGCTAGTGACCTTGGGATTCTGATGAATAAAATGACCAGTCATGTAAATTGGCTGTAGTCCCTTCTGAGTGGACTTTGACTCACTGATAAAGAAAAAAAAAAGTTAACTTTGTTCCAGTAACCTGGGTAGTACAATTATTTTGCAATCTGCTGCTAAGGTAAAGGTTGCTGGTTAGAACCCAACCAGTGGCTCCATGTGAGAAAGGTCTGGCCATCTTCTGTAAAGACTGTAACCAATAGAACCCCCTATTGAGGAGTTCTCCTCAGTAACACGAGTCATCTTTTTTTTTTTTTTTTTTTGAGGCAAACAGTTGCATTTCTGTGAGAGACCATAATGCAAATGTTATAGGCAGTCCTTAGGCTATGGATGTCTGACTTACATTCAACTGAATTGTAATTTACTCGAGGCCACAGATTTGTTTTCCTTTGTTTTCTAATCTTCTTCTCTTTCCTTCCACGGCCTCATTGGGGGGATTTTGAATTAACTAGTATCGGGTTGGGCATAGTTATTGGCTCCAATGAAAAAAAAGGATTTTGCTGTTGTTGAGACTATACACAGCCAATCATATACCAATCTGATGCTGTCTTCAGAGACATTGATTATATTATTCAAGGTGTGCAACAGTTCTCGCCCACTGCTTCTGGCTTGTTCCTGTCCCATGGATAAACTCACTGCCTGTTAAGGTTCTTGGTCATCTTTTAAGCTGTTGTCACTGGATCCCATAGAGCTAGATCTAAGGTAGACACACTTCATTAGTGAAGCTAAACTACTGTTGGTGTAAAGAAGACTTCAGGGGATATTTTTGGTTTTAGGTTTAAAGATTAACTCAGGGAAATAGTTTCCAGAGTTCATCTAGCCTTCATGGCTCCAGACTTTCTGGAGGCCATGCGAATTTGAAATTCTGTTCTTCATTTTCCCCTTGTTGATCAGGATTCTTCTATGGGATCTTTGATCAAAATGTTCAGAAGATGTAGCTGTTGCTCTGACCTCATGGAAACAGAGGCAATATGTGCCAAAATTCTAGATGAAGAGAGACCAACTGTCATATCCTGATGGCTGCTGGCAAGCTGTTAAGACCCCAGGGACTCCACATTGAAATAGGAGGTAGAACAGAAGCACTAAGAGCTTTATTAGGTCAGTTTCAGGAGTGTCCCATGTAACCATAGCTCTAAACCTCCAAAGCAGGGACCAAATTCTATGGGGTTTTGTTTTCTATATAAGCAGTCTCAGCAACTTCTCTCTTTTTCATTGTAGTAAGCATATCTACCATGCAGCTTTTGCCAATTCAATTTTTTACAAGTTTACATTGTATTGACAGCAATTGCAATAACTAACTCTGTAACCCTATCCTAAATCCATTCAATTTTCCCATCACTGTTAACCCCCTATTTCTTCTTGTAAAAATGGCATGGTAGAGGGATCTGTTCTCCTCTAACTTCACAAGCAGGGAGGAAAATCAGGATCAACAGCCAAAGGCTGATTCCTATGAGGTCAAGTTCAGCCATGCCTCCACTCTAAACTTTTTATCAATTCTGACATCAACTGTTTCTCCCACAACACTCTCTACTTCACTGCTGGGCTCAATGGCCACACAAAACTCACAGGCAGTACTCACAATTATGAGGTTTATTAGGGGAGTAACAGATTACAACTCTAGATCAGAAATGAGGCAGGATATAGTTCTTCAACCAGGACAGTCTTCTCAGTAGTGACTGCAGGCACACTTCTGGTCTTTGGCTTCTGGGTCCCATAGTTCTTGGCCTGTGTCCTGCTTGGTTAAATGTTATAAAACTCTGACAGTAAATGCCTAGAGGCACCCTACTCTGCCAGTAAGCTTCAGCCTGAAGGGTCTCAACACTTGCTCCATGGGTTGGCAAACCTAGCTCCACCAAGTGCCTAGAAGCACCTACTCTTCTAGCAAGCCTCCTGCCTGAAGGCACTCAGTGGGCCTGCTCAGTGAACCTGGAAGTGTACCATACCCAGGCCCCTACACCATCTCCTGCTGGTCTCCCATCAGACTTTTGGTTCTGCTGCCGCTGATTCTCGGTCACTGTTGTTTGATATCTCAGCAAGGTGTTACATTCTTTTTCTGACTTCTGGACTGAGGAGGTTCTCAGTGCAGGGATCCAGGACCAAAGGATGTGCTTCATTCCTGGCTCTTCTATCTTTGTGATCATGAGATCTCTCTTTCCCCCTTTCCTTTGGGATGACTTATTTTAAACCTAGTGGTGGTGGTGGTGGTGGTTATGGGCCGTGGAGTCGGTTCTGACTTGTAGCGACCCTGTACAGGGTTTCCAAGGCTGTAAATCTTTACAGGAGCAGAAGCCTCATCTTTCTTCCACAGAACAGGTGGTAGTTTTGAACTGCTGACCTTGTGGTTGGCAGCCGATTCATAACTGCTACGTTAAACCTAGTAGGATGACAAATATTCTGGTGCTCTTCATCACATTTCAATATTCAATATTCTGCTGCTGACAGTGTTCCATTGCTGTTAATCAGGTTTTCAGTGACTTCAGAAGTAGTGTTCCATTGCTGTTTATCAGGTTTTCATATTCAGAAGTAGTCCATCCCATCTTCCTAGTTTGTCTTTGTCTGGAAGCTCAGCTGACACCTGTCCACCATGATGCCCCTGCTGCTATTTAAAATACCTGTGGCACAGCTTCCAGAATCACAGAAATATGCAAGACACCACAGTTTGACAAACTGACAGACGAGAGCTGAAATGGACTGATATTAGCCATTTTGAGTCCGGCAATTACATGGTTTACTATGCTGGAAATGGGAAATTGAACAAGAATGGCATCATCAAAAAGAACATATCAAGATCTGTCTGGAAGTACAATGCTGTCTGTGATAAGATAATATCCATATGCCTACAAAGAAGACCAGTTAATGCCAATCACTAAAGCCAGTGAGGATGAAACTGAAGAATTCTACCAACTTCTTCAGTCTGAAATTGATCAATTATGTAATCACAATTTGTTGATAATGATTGGCTATTGGAATGCAGAGTTTGGAAATAAAGAGGAAGGATCAGTAGTTGACAAATATGGTCATGGTGATAGAAACAGTACTGGGGAACACATGATAATTTTGCAAGACCAATCACTCCTTCATTACAAATACCTTTAAAAAACCCCAAAACATATAAGATGACTATACACATGGACCTCACCAAATGGAGTGCACAGAAATCAAATTGACTATATTTGTGGAAAGAGACAGTGGAAAAGCTCCATATCACCAGTCAAGACAAGGTCAGGGGTAGACTGTGGAACAGACCATCAATTACTCATATCCAAATTCAGGCTGAAGCTGAAGAGAATGAAAACAAGTCCATGAGAGACAAAATGGCCTTGAATATATCCCACTTGAGTTTAGAGATCATCTCAGGAACAGATTTGATGCATTAAGCACTAAAGACCGAAGAACAGAAGAGTTGTGGATGACATCAAGAACATCATACAGGAAGAAAGCAAAAGGCATTAAGAAGACAAGAAAGATGGAAAAGACCAAATTGGATGTCAGAAGAGACTCTGAAACTTGCTCTCCAGCATAGAGATGCTAAAGCAAATAGAAGAAATGAGGAGGTAAAAGAGCTGAATAGAAAATTGCATAGAGCACCTCGAGAAGACAAGGTCAAATGTTATAATGAAATGTGCAAAGACCTGGAGTTAGAAAACCAAAAGAGAAGAACACAGTCTGCATTTCTCAAGCTGAGGGAACTGAAGAAAAAATTCAAGCCTTGACTTGCAATATTGAACGGAAGCAGCAGTCAAGAAATCAAATGACGTATTGCATTAGGCAAATCTGCTGCACAACACCTTTTTAAAGTGTTGAAGAGCAAAGATGTCAGCTTGAAGACTAAGGTGTACCTGACCCAAGCCATGCTATTTTTCAGTAACCTCATATGCATGCGAAAGCTGGTCAGTGAATAAGGAAGACTAGAAGAATTGATGCTTTTGAATTATGGTGTTGGAGGAGAATGTTGAAAGTGCCATGGGCTGCCAAAAGAACAAACAGATCTGTGTTGGAAGAAGTGCAGCCAGAGTGCTCCTTTGTCTCCCACACTTCAGACATATTGTCAGGAGGGACCAGTCGCTGGAGAAGGATATCATGTTTGGTAAGGGTGGGAGGGTCAGAGAAAAAGAGGAAGACCCCCAATGAGATGGATTGGCAAAGTGGCAGCATCAATGGGCTCAAGCATGGCAACGCTAGTGAGGTTGGCCCAGGATTGGGCAGTGTTTCGTTCTTCTGTGCATAAGGTCACTATGAGTCAGTACTGACTCAATGGCACCTAACAACAATAACATGGATAAAATATTGAATGATGCAGAAAGCATCAAAAGAAGATGTAAGGAATGCACAGAGTCACTGTACCAAAAAGAAATGGCTGATAGTCAACCATTCAAGTTGGCTGATATTCAAGAGGAGGTAGCCTATGATCAAGAGCCAATGATACTGAAGGAAGAAATCCAAGGTACATTGAAGGCATTGGCAAAGAACAAGGCACCAGGAATTCATATAATACAACATACTGATATGGCACTGGAAGTACTCATTCATCTATTTGGAAGTTAGCTACAGGCCAAATGATTGTAAGAGATCCATATTTGAGCCACTTCCAAAGAGAGGTGACCCAGTATAATGCAGCTATCATTGGATAATATCATTATATTATTATTGCATGCAAGTAAAATTTTGCTAAAGATATTACAAAACTGGCTGCAACCATACATTAACAGAGAACTTCCAGAAGTTCAAGCTGTATTCAGAAGAGAACATGGAATGAATGAGCGATATCATTGCTGACATCAGATGGATCTTAGCTGAAAGCAGAGACTGCCAGAAAAATGTTTACCTGCACTTAACTGACTATGCAAAGACTTTTGATTGTGTTTCAACAGCACCGGGGGTTATGAGTATTCCCGAATAGTT